CCAAGGGACCTCTGGCGGCCTATCCCCACCTAGTCCTTGCGCCTCTCCCCACCCCGAAAAAATCCCAACCGAGATTATGTCCCAGGAAATGACAGGGAGACGTGCGGCCAAACCTAGTCCCGCCAGGTCTCCACCCAGAAAACAGGTTGAGTGTGTGACAATGAAGGGGAAATCCCACGCTTGAGAACATTTTTTAAAAAATCCAAACTTGGAAAAAGGCCAAATTGCTTGAGCGTAGGGTACCTCCCAGCATTTCTTAAATTAGCTTACCTTGTGAAAGAGGGCCTTCCTTCGCCGGGGCCTTTTACAGAAACCGCTCCCCCTCCCCACTCCTTGGCTGACAGACTGGGGGATGTAACTTCGTTGTCAAGGGATAGTGGGTTAATAAAGGATAGAAGTCGGGGCAGTTCATAGCCCTGTAGAGTTGTAACTTTTAACCTGCAGAAGTGGATAAGGTTTAGGAGTTTAGAACCTGGTGGAGAGGCCAATCCCAATGGTGTTAGGGGTTTTATTGCCCTAGAAAACGTGAACTACATTTTGTTCTGACCTCACCTACACGTTTATTAACTACTTAACTATTTATCTATTTGGCAAACAGGTTCATATACATGTGTGTGTACATATAACATTTTTTGTCAGCTTTCAAGGAAATTTTTTTTTTCTATACAGCTGGTTCCCTCCTGGATGACTTAAATGCAATATTGATTGGGCTCAGCATTTCAGAATTTCACTTTTAACGTGATTACTAACCACCATGACTTAAAGATAGAACGGCAGTTTACTCGGTCTTTTGGTCGCACATTCAGACATTTATTAAGCCCTTTCTTGGGGCACTATGATTGACAAGAGACATTTGCTTTTTCTTTGAAGACTGAGTGGACACACATACATGGAGTAAATTTGGGGCTTAGATGTGACCTTGAATAATCTGCAGGGTTTAAAGGTCCAAGCTCTGGGAATTAGACTTTGTGGGTTCAAGTTTTTATTCCACCACGTATAGCTTGTAACCCTGTCAAGTGCTTTTATCTCTCTGTGCTCCAGTTTCCTCATCTCTAAAATGTGGATATTATACAGTATTTACCCCAGAGTTTGATACTAAAGAGTAATGGAGGCAATGCTTTAAAGTACCTAGCACTGTTCTCCCCCAGCAGGAAACATTACAATTGTGAATGAAAAATGTTGCTTGCCATATCAGTAAACAAGGATGTTACAGCCATAAAGTCACTACAAGCCACTTAAGATGGAGACAAACAGGCTGCCCACTGCCCAGCCCTCAGCCCCTGCAGCCACCCTCAACAGCACACTCAGAGGGCACTCAAGATGGGAAAAAACAGGCCACTGGCCCTAGAGAGCTAAGGTGCACATCAAAGGAGTGATTTCAGTGAGCCCAGGCTCTTGCATCTTCCCATATATAGAAAAGCGCTAAATTCCTTAACTTGAGATGTCTGTTGTTTTTTTTTTTAATAACAGTAATCTTTTGATGTTTTTGTTGCCAAAACGCCCATGTATCCCAGCTCCTCCCCTTACCTCTTCAGAGCAGTCGCTTAGAGCTGTCTGAGGGGATGTCTCTGGGCTTGAAGCCCTCAGGAACTCCACCAAATAAAACATAATTCTCAACTTTTAGGTTGTGCATTTTTTTCAGTCAACACAATAAACATAAACTACTTTAATTTTTATTATAATTTATTGTTTACTGCATTCCTAAGATGCTGTTCAAATATTAAAAGACACAGTTCTTTCTAGAGGATCCTGCTTTGGCAACTAAGGTAATTGAATAGTTTCACTGGGGTTTTTTCAAATCATTCTAGTTCTCCTTTTTGTTTCTATAAATGAACTTAAGGAAGTATTAGTGTTCAGTCTTTACAACAACAGCGTAATCTCTAACGTAGCAGTTCTCCAAGTGTCATCTGTGGGCCTTGACCATCACCAAGATCCTTTCAGGGGAGTCTGTGATGTCAAAAGTGTTTCCATGATAATCTGAGGACATTAGTTGTCTTCTCTATTTAGATATTTGCTCTGACGGTGCAAAAGTAATGAAAGCTGATGGCATGAATCCAGGCAGTGGCACAAAATTGAACTGCATTCATCAATCATCACCACCAACCACCATGCACGTGCAGTAAAAACAAACACACAAACAAAAAGTGCCACTGAAGGTTGAAGCAGCCGTACCCTTTGGAATGAGATGGGAAGTGCCCAGAAACCCTCTGGTTGGTGGATATGGAGTATGGGGCTGCCTGGAGCCAAAGCTCTGGGGCCATGGTTTGCAATGGAGAATATCAAGCTGCATTTTTTCATGGAATGCCATTTTTTCCTTAAAGGAAGAACTGACAGACAAACTGCTGTTACACAGTCTTGAGGAGTTGGCAGACATTTTCTCCAAAATGAATTAAGGGAGCCCTTTGCTTCAAAGAAACTGAGAGTATTTGTGGCCAATGATAAAATTCAGGCTTTCAAGTGAAAATTCAAACTTTTGGAAAACCTGTATCTTCTACTATGAGTCTGACAGCATCCCAATATTGAAAGATTTTTCTAATGAAATCAGTGGTAATGCTAACAGCCATTATGATTACTTTTTGGATTGTTTATTGACAGACTGATTGATTGTGGCCCGACAGGAAACATGTATTTGACACAGTTCTTGACACAAAGATCCTAAATCTGCTGGAATGTCCTGCTTGACAGGAGTGTCTTTTGTTGAATGAGGCAACTCTGGGTGGGCCCCTAGGTAGCTTCAGATGGGGACTGAGTCACTACAAAGACCAAACCTTGATTAAAAGCATGAAACTTTCAGCCTTACCTCCCCCAACCTCTGGGGAGAGGAAGGGCGCTGGAAACTGAGTTAATAGTCAATCATGCCTGTGTGATGGAACCCCCAAGTGAACAAGCACGTTGAGGTGCTGGGAGGGTGGTGCATCTGGAGGGGGGGCATGGAGGCTCTAGACACACCACACCCATACCTCGCCCTGTGCATCTCTTCCATGTGGCTGTTCCCCAGCTGTATCCTCTGTGATAAATCAGTCATAGCAAGTAAACTGTCTCCTGAGTTCTGTGAGCTGTTCTAGCAAAACTGAGGACAGGGCGGTTGTGGGAACCCCTGACTTGTAGCCAATCAGCTGGAAGAGTGGGTAATCTGAGGGCCCAATATTTGTAACTGGCATCTGAAGTGGGAGCAGCCTCCTCAAACCTGTGGATTCTGACGGTAACTCCAGGTGGTGTCAGAATAGAATTGTAGGATGTTCAGTTGGTGTCTGGAGACTCAGAGATTTGGTTGTTGGAAAACACCCCAGACCGATGAATTTTAACGTCACAGAGTAAGAAGAAATATTGATAAGGTTTTGGATCCTATGTTGTACTAAACTTTAAGAAATGCTGAATTTGGGTGTAGTAAGAAAGAAGAATATCAAAAATTATCTGGAAAGATTATTGAAATACTTCTTCCTTCTCCACTTACTTGCACAAAGAAGGACTTTCTTTGTTTTCTTTGACAAAAATAACATTGCAACAGATTGAATGCAGAAAAAGTACATGAATCCAGCTGTCTTCTATTAAGCAAGACATAAAAGAGATTTGCAGAAAGGTAAACAATGCTAAATTTTTGTTTTGGAAAACATAGCTATTTTTCCTTAAAATATACATGGTAACATATAATGGGAATATTGTTACTTTCAAATGAATTAATAAATGTTTTAAATTTCTTAGTTTCTGTTATGAATATTGTTGGTATAGACATAATTCAGATTAACAAAAGTTCTTTGCATTCATTGATCATTTTAAAGAGTATAAATGGATCCTCAGACCAAAATGTTTGAGAACTGCTGTTCTTAAAGAAACCCACATTCTT